AGATTTGCAAATCTATGTACATTCAACAAATCGATCATAGGAGGCACAATATTTCCACACAAGCGTATACACAAGGCTACATGGATCTCACCGGACCACACTACAGAGAACCAGATAGATCATATTTGCATCAACAAAAAATTCCGAAGGACAATGAAAGATGTGAGAACCAGGAGAGGAGCTGACTTAGCTTCAGATCACCACCTAGTTGTAGCCAATTTAAAACTGAAGCTAAAAAAGAACTGGACAACTGGAAAAACAGCAATACAAAGGTTCAATACAGCCTTCCTTCGAGATACTGACAAACTCAATGAATTCAAAATAGCTCTCAACAACAGGTTCCAAGCCTTACATGATCTACTGAAAGGAGAAACTACTATGGAGGATAACTGGAAAGATCTCAAAAAAGCATTAACTTCAACGTGTCAAGAGGTTCTGGGCCTAAAGAAACACCATCATAAGGAGTGGATCTCTGTAGAAACACTGGAAAAGATCAAGGAAAGGAAGAACAAGAAGGCAGCAATAAACAACAGCCGAACACGAGCAGAGAAAGTTCAAGCACAAGCTGAATACATAGAAGCAAACAAACAAGTGAAGAGGAGCATTAGAGCCGACAAGAAGAAATACGTGGAAGAACTAGCAACGACGGCAGAAAAAGCTGCTAGGGAAGGAAATATGAAACAGCTTTACGATACAACGAAGAAACTATCAGGGAAATACAGTAAACCAGAAAGACCGGTCAAAGACAAAGAAGGTAAGCCAATCACCGAAATTCAACAACAGCGGAACAGATGGGTAGAATACTTCGAGGAACTCCTGAATAGGCCGGCTCCAATGAATCCACCGGACGTCGAAGCGGCACACACAGATCTTCCCATAGACGTCAACACACCAACGAAGGAAGAAATTAGAATAGCCGTCAGAAAAATCAAAAACGGGAAAGCAGCGGGACCGGACAATATACCAGCTGAAGCACTGAAGTCAGACATCGAAGCAACTACAAACATGCTTTACCTTCTATTCAAAAAGATTTGGGAGGAGGAACAAGTCTCGATGGACTGGAAAGAAGGGCACCTCATCAAGATTCCAAAGAAAGTAGATCTGAGCAAATGTGAAAACTATAGAGGCATTACATTGCTGTCAGTACCACGGAAAATCTTCAACAGAGTGTTGCTGAACCGGATGAAAGATGCAGTAGACACCCAACTTCGAGATCAACAAGCTGGATTCCGTAAGAACCAGTCGTGCACAGACCAAATTGCAACACTACGGATCATCATCGAACAATCAGTTGAGTGGAACTAGTCACTATACATCAACTTCATTGATTATGAAAAGGCATTTGACAGTGTGGATAGGAGGACATTATGGAAACTTCTTCGACACTACGGAGTTCCTGAGAAGATTGTCAACATTATCCGGAACTCATACGGCGGACTACAATCCAAAGTCGTGCATGGGGGACAGCTGACAGATGCATTCCAAGTAAGGACCGGAGTAAGACAAGGCTGTTTACTCTATCCCTTCCTTTTTCTCCTGGTGGTCGACTGGATTATGAGGACATCTGAAGGAAAATACGGAATACAATGTACAGCTCAAATCAATTAGACGATTTGGACTTTGCAGATGACCCAGCTCTCCTATCGCATACACACCAACAGATGCAGTCAAAGACAGCCAGTGTGGCAGCAGTCTCTGCACACAGAAAGGAAAAACCAAGGTCCTCAAATTCAAGGTGGAGATCAGCAATCCAATCACTCTTGATGGCGAAACTCTGGAAGATGTAGAATCCTTCACATATCTAGGAAGCATCATCGATGAACAAGGAGGCTCAGATGCGGACGTTAAGGCAAGGATCGGCAAAGCAAGGGTCGCATCCCTACAATTGGAAAACAGATAGAACTCAAAACAACTTTCAACCAATATCAAAGTGAGAATCTTCAATACGAACATCAAGACAGTCAGTTGTACTGTACGGAGCTGAAACTTGTAGAACTACAACAATCACTATCAAGAAGGTACAAGTATTTATAAATAGTAATCTACTCATGATACTCAACATCGGTTGGCCGGATACCATCAGTAAAAGACTTCTGTGGGAGAGAACAAATCAGCTTCCAGCTGAAGAGGAGATTAGGAAAAGGCGATGGAGTTGATGGATAGGACATACATTACGCAAATAATCAAACTGCATCACGAGGCAAGCGCTAACTTGGAATTTTGAAGGGAATCAGAAAAGAGGAAGGCCAACGAACACATTAATTTGGGAAATAGAAGCAGATATGAAAAGGATAAATAGGAACTGGAAGGAGCTGGAAAGAATTTTTTGAGACAGGGTTGGATGTTGAATGCTGGTGAGCGGCCTATGCTCCTTCACGAGGAGTAACAGACATAAATAAGTAAGTAAGTGTTTTGGATTTTTAGTGCCGTACATGAAATTTTCATCAAATTATTCTATAATCTTACAATTTCAGTAAAATGTAGTACGAAGCCAAGTATAATGGTTCACGTTTAATTAGTTTGCAGTTAAACTTGTTCATAATAATTAATTTTTAAAATGAACCAACAACTCTAATCAAATTTAAATAAAAATTGAACTTGAATAGTGACTAGCAGTGAAATCTACGACACACGTTTCGTCTTATTTACGACCTGTTGGCTGGATGTACCTGCATCCCAGAGTTGATGTTCACTCCCGGAGAGACTTCTGCCGACAAGTCCCATAAAGAACGAAACGTGCATCCTAGATTCCAGCGTTAGCCACTATCCAACTTTGCTTGTAAAGCTTATGACTTAAGGTAATATTGAGGCAATTCGTACAGAATGCACATATTCCAACAAAAGACTGATCAATTCCAATCTTAAATAACAATGTGAAGATACAAGTAAAACAACACCAAGTGAATTTAAAGATTTAAGTTGTTAACATTTGTATTTAATTTAACTGTAAAAACAAAAAAGAAAAATAGAACATTGTGTACAATGGTTTGTATAAAATGACTATCAGAAAATTTAAAAAAAATGTCACCATCTTAACATAAAAAGTCTAGTGGAAAATTATCGAGGTTAAAGGGAAAGAGATATACTACGGTAATTCATTTTATGCTTTACATAATCAGTGAAACATTATTTTATCCAATTTAAATTTACTTAATTAGAAAAATAGTATGGAATTTGCTTCAGGGTATAAATAGAGTTTTAAAAAGAAAAATTCTTATTAAAACATAATTATACATGAAATAATTTCAGTAGATTAATCTTTAAAAGAATAATAAACCGGGTAATTTAATTCTCCTGGATATAATTGAGCCTAATCTTATATTAAATTAAGTTTAGACACTGTATACAAAGAAACTCTTTTTTTGTTGGTATTGTTGTTGTTGATCCTTTAAGAGATTTAATTGTCAAAATGATCTACTCACAGTAATTGGTTTACATGAAAATCTATTAGTCAATGTTGTTTTAGATGTCAATTTCATTAACATTGAAACTTATGAACAAGGAAGGGTTAACATTATGAAATGAAATTATATTCTTGTACACAAAAAAACACCTTGCTGATGAGTGCCAAATAGCACGAAACCCGGGTCCAGGGTTTCCTGTTGACTACCTCCAACCACCATCTAAATCTCAATACATAGTGCCCGCAGTGTCGAGTCACCTAAACTCGTGGCTACATTGCAACATGATCGATAGCATTCGATCTGCACTAATAAGGACTAGACGAGCAAGACATTGATCACCACCCAGTGATCAATCAATTGTAATATACACAAAAAACCTGTTGTGCATTATTTAGTAATCCGAAAAACTACAGTTTCAAGGAGTATTCTTTTAAGAAATTTAAACCAGTTAGTCCCTTTGATTAATTTTGATAGTGTAATAAGAAGACGAAGATTATTAGAACTAATATGATATATACGCGTAATACAATATCAGCTTATTATTCAGAGTGATAAGGTTTCAAATTGTTTTCACATTATTTCTTTATTATCCTTGTGTCCTCTTATCTACACATGTCTAGTCTACTTGACCTTTCATTTTCTTTAATATATATAAATGTTCTTAACAAGTATATGTGTAATCAGATTGTTTGAAATGTATTGAACTAATATATCACATAATTCTGATAATGTTCGTCATTTTATTACAGTACTGAAAAGTTACATCCAATAGTTTTATCCTGTGAATAACTTCTGTTGGATGGATTCATGATTAATAAATAGCCCTCAGTGTAGACCTGGTAATATAACTTTTAAATGTAGCTATATACCTGACTGTATCTACGAATGTATGTGTAAATGCCAGAAATCATTGACCTCAAAGAGGTAGCATTGTAACCTATCTTAATATGTAGAAAATATATAAATATTATATAACCGATTGTTAAAACAACAAACATATTCCATTTTTACTGATTATCAGTTGGTTATAATTCAAAGTAAACTCGGTTCCGATTACAAAATAATTTCTTGTTCAAATTTTACATTCCATATTAAATTTAAGTATTTTTTTCTGATTTAAATGAAAACTCCAACCAACCTACATTATGCTCATTGATAGTTGTGCTGATGATGTCGTCCAGAAGAACGATGAAAGCTCCATAACCAAACCATCCAGTTCAGAGAACAAAACTTCATCAAAACATATTTTAACTATACAAATTAATTAATATGCACAAATCATTATCTACTATAGAAACGTAATTTCCAAGATACATTTCCACTAGTTCCTGTAAATAAATATATTTTACATTCCTTAGAAACAATGACTTCGTAACTAATTATAAACATTTAAAATTTATTTATTCAAATCATACATAAATCAATCTAATTTTTTATTGTTTAATAATTATATTAAAACAAGTCAGTTTAATAGTAAAACATCTTGTACATAATCTATGGTATAATGAAACTAATATTTACCCATCATATAAATAATATTACTAATTAAATTATCTATAATATAAATCATTACCTAGTTCATTCTAATTTCTGGAGATGGCTTCTAAAATGTACAAAAAGGTAGGAAACATCTATTCCATTGGAATAGTTAATAAAGATTTCAGAATTATATTAGTACCGCTACTACCACTACTACTACTACTACTACTACTACTACTACTACTACTACTACTACTACTAATAATAATAATAATAATAATAATAATAATAATAATAATAATAATAATAATAATAGTGAAATAATGTGCAATGCTACAAAGAAAAATGACAGATTCTTTTCACCTTGATCTGGTTCGGTTTCAGGTTGAAAAAAGAAACTATCCTTTTTGTTGTTGCTGTTGTTTAAAATATTTTATTTAGTTTAATTATGACAGTTTGACATTTGAATAAAATTATTTATAACAGTAACATTTTTATAGATTACAAGTTGATTACCTAAACAAACAAACAAATGAAAGAAGAATAGTTCTCAATGAGAATTAGTAGAATCCATTTAAAATCTATTTAATACATTTATACAAATGTTGTACATTCATTAATTTAAGAAAAGAAAAGAATAAAGAAAGAAAGAAAAAACAGGTTAATTAATTCCCGTTACCGTATACAAATCATTATGGCATTTAACATTTTAGTTAACCTTGTAAATCAATCAGAAAAAAAGTTATTTAACTGAAATTTTATTACTTAAGTTCTATACAGCTATGAATTCATAATAAATGACATAGATTGATTATTTTCACTACAAAAATATTTTACAATCCGTAAAATATTATCAAGATAATTTATGAACATTTACTTCCTTACGCTTGTTACCCCTCGTGGAGGAGCATAGGCCGCCCATCAGCATTCTCTATCCAACCCTGTCCAAAGCAATCCTTTACAGCTCCTTACAGTCATTATTCATCCTTTTCATATTTGCTTCTATTTCCCAAATTAATGTGTTCGTTGGCCCTCCACTTTTCCGATTCCCTTCAAAATTCCAAGTTAGCGCTTGCCTCGTGATGCAGTTTGATGATTTGCGTAATGTATGTCCTATCCATCAACTCCATCGTCTTTTCCTAATCTCCTCTTCAGCTGGAAGCTGGTTTGTTCTCTCCCACAGAAGTCTGTTACTAATGGTATCCGGCCAATCGATGTTGAGTATCATGAGTAGATTACTATTTATAAATACTTGTACCTTCTTGATAGTGATTGTTGTAGTTCTCGAAGTTTCAGCTCCGTACAGTACAACTGACTGTCTTGATGTTCGTATTGAAGATTCTCACTTTGATATTGGTTGAAAGTTGTTTTGAGTTCTATATGTTTTTCAATTGAAGGAATGCGGCCCTTACTTTGCCAATCCTCGCCTTTACATCTGTATCTGAGCCTCATTGTTCATCGATGATGCTACTCAGGTAGGTAGGTAGGTAGGTGAGAGATTTCACATCTTCCAGAGTTTCTCTATCAAGTGTGGTTGGGTTGGTATTCTCCGTGTTGTATTTGAGCTTACTGAATAATACGAAAGACTAACAAATAAATGACTAATCTTATATTTAGTGAAATGAGAGAAAATAAATATAAAATCAATGCAGTGAAAGAATCGTCTTCACTCTGATATTACTGCCAAAGTTAAGAAAGTTAAAATAAGACGATATGCAACATAAAAACACTCTAATTTGTGTATCAAAAAAATCATGTGGTTTATCTAATTGGATTTGAGAATCAAATAAGAAATATTTGACGGTTCATAATCCTAGGGGTCTTCACCATCCTAGAGAGATTATCGATACAAATTTTATGTAAATAGAGTGGTGATGTCTTCATATTACCATCCAAAATCTTTTAGAAATCAGTCAATTCACTGAGTCAAAAAATGATATTTATTAAAACAGATCTAGCCACAGCTTAAAATCGGGGTTTCATAATGAATAAACAACCACAAAACATTCTATGTAATCACCTATGAAATATAATGATAATCTGATTTTCATTACGTAATTAACACTATATTACATCAATATAGTTACGTTATCACATGATCATTAATGAAAAGGAAACTTGTATAATCTCGTAAGTTATGTAATTAATTCTGATGAAGTCTACGAAACAGAGGAAGTTTCTGTGGTCTGTTGGTCTGACTCCAATTTGAAAGAACGAATGAAAAAAACTGATGATATAATTCTTCCATTTAACTCTGTATATTACCTAAGCTAACCCCGTTTGTGTGACGGCGGTAATAAAAGGCCAAATATAGGTTGCGTAGGATGAATTTATATCAAGCACTAGTTTATCCACACAGACATTCAGAATGAAAAATGGGAAAGCGATGTGAAGCGGAGAAGACAAGTGAGTTAATTCATTTTGATAAAGCGCAACTAAATATTTATAATCAGACAAAAATAAACCACAAACACGTGATGAATCGGGTAAGCAATACATATATACGCTCATATAAAATTGCTCAAGGTTATAAGCCAATAATTGACAAGGTCAAAACGTAACTAAAAAAATCAAATAAACAAATTAATTGGCCTGTCCGGAAGTTAGAACAACTCATGTGTTACTTGACATAGTACTAGACACTACAGTGTATTTGATCCTGTAGATAATTGTTATCTATAGATTAAATGAATATCCTGATGATTTGGTTTCATAACAGATGATGAAATAATATATACACAGCTAATTTATCATTGTCATTCATCTTCCATGCGAAACTATATAGGTAGACGAATATGCATGTTTGCAAACTGTAAACAATCTTAAATCTTTGTTGTAAAAGTATATTCAGATAAGAAACACTTGTCAACCAACTTATTCTTGAAAACTGTCTGAATGAATAAATATTTGTATTAAAGACGGTGAAAGAAAGTATCATAAACATCAATACACGCAGTTCTACAAAAAAAGCTGGAGAAGTGACAAATAAACACATAAAAAGTCAAACACGAGAGTCGATAAATATAGGTCGATTTAAGAATATCGTTTTCATATTTATACTAATGAAAATTCTCCTGAAATTGTTTGAGGTTTTTCTATCCACTATTTTAGCATTTCTGATAATTCCGAAGTTGTTTAGGTTATTTGTGAGGCGTTGATGGAGAACTCCATGAAACGTTTGAGCTTTATATTCACGTGGTATTGTTTGCTTGAATCTTCCCATTGATGTTGAAGACTGTCATTGATCAGTCTCTTATTGACATATGTGCGTCCTGTGCAGATTGCCTTGATATTGCCTCAATTCACAAGCATTATGAGCAAAGACGGATGATGGCTTTCAGTGGTTATCAGGACTCAGTAGCTAATTGAATATCGCGTTGACGTCTGAAGCTAATGATACTGGGTTCGTGTACAGTAGTGGACATCAAATCTGGGATACAGGTACATCCAACCGATGAGTCCCGAATAGGACGGGACGCACGTCCTGGATTTCACTGCTACCCACTATCCATCTTTGCCTATAATTTTGAGTTTTACGTTTATGAAAACTACTCCTGGCAGAAACCCTCTTCCAGTTCATTTTTCCTAAGAAATATATTCTTTTTTCTGATTTTATTTAGCCTACAGAGACTTTTGGACTAAATGTTCTAAGTATAGTTTATGAAAATAAATTTTTTTTTATTTTGTTCCATATTTCTTCTTCAGTTTTACATAGATAAAATGATGATTTAGTTAATTTTCATCTTCATTAGAATAATTGATCAATCAGTACTAACTATATAAGTAATAAATCACGTTTTAAGATTTTGCTAACAGAATATGTGATAGCAATTTACCACTCTTATCAAATATCTCCGAACTACAGTTTTCACTAATATCTACATAGTTTTTCTTTCGCTTTAGCTAACATTCGAAATGTAAGAGACATAAATATAGTCTAAATAAAGGCTCAGAAAAGAAGCCATTTTTATCACATCAAACGTCAACATGATTTTCAGAATTGCCAACTTTGCTATGAAATCATCAATTTCTATTGGTTATGATGATTACTAAAAGATGAATAGTGTTTATTTATTTATTTCAACACATAGATATTGGTACAAAGAGGCACCAAATACATATGCGCCACACAAATCTCATTCGATATGTGTGAGGGCTGTGATACTGCCCGGGTGCCCAGAACGAAACAGGTGGTTTTCTTAGGGGGCCACACTCCGAGCCTTCAACCTGAGGGTCTGATCCACAAGGTAGTGGAGCATCGTAAGGAGATACAGTCCCATGGTAGCCGGTGACCAACAATTGGTTCATACGCCATTTGTTCCCGCAGGATACTGGAGCTCATGTGCACCATTGGTTTGGAATCCGGTTAAAGCGCCGGACATTCGCTTTTCGTCCTCTCATTTTCGTGAACAACACCCCCGCCACGAGGGTGTTGTTCAATTTCTATTGGTTATGATGATTACTAAAAGATGAATAGTGGCTAGCAGTGGAATCCAGGACGTGCATTTCTTCCTATTCCGAACTCGTCACTAATCATCTTTGCTTATAATACTTGCGAATTAAGGCAATATCGAAGTAATACGCACAGTATGAACAAATGCCAATAACATACTGATCAATCGCAGTCCAAAATAACAATAGAAACATTCAAGTAAACAATACCAAATGAATTTATGATCACTACTGTTTTACGAGCCTCAGTCAACTTACTTACGTCTGTTACTCCCAGTGGAGCATAGGCCGCTGGCCAACATTCTCCAATCCACTCTGTCCTGGGCCTTCTTTTCTAGTTCCATCCAAGTCTTGTTCATTTTTCTAATGTCTATCTCCATTTCCCGGCGTAATGTGTTCTTTGGTTTTCCTCTTTCCCTTTCACCTTGAGGATTCCATGTGAGGGCTTGTCTTGTGACGCAGTTGTGTATTTTCCTGAATGTGTCTCCTATCCACTTCCAGCGCTTCTTCCTGATTTCTTCCTCCACTGGGATCTGCTTTGTTCTCTTCCACAGTAGGTTGTTGTTAATAGTGCCTGGCCAACGGATCCGAAATATTTTCATAGATAACTGTTAATAAACACTTGTATCTTCTGGATGATAGTTTTCGTAGTAGCTCAGTCAACCTATGAAATATTAAGTATTTCACATATTGAATATAAATAAAGTATTGTCTAGTTTTAATGAATAGAAGATGATTTTGATCCTTTCAAATGAGTAATAAATCATTACTCTTGATTAAAATACTCATTTTAATCATATTACTTTTTTTATCTAATAAATAAATATGTATCTATGACATAATGTTACTTGTAGCCATTATAAATTTGATCAAACGTTACATAATTGTATAATTCGTTTTTTTTGGGATTAAGTCA